AAAAAAAAAAAAAAAAAAAAAAAAAAAAAAAAACACACACACACAAAAGCTACCACAACAACACCCCCAGAAGCAACAAAATTCACAAGCATGAGAGGCTTTTCACCACACGCACACACTTCTTACACACCTCCTCTGTTCCTTGTCCTTGCGGTCGAAGCTGTTGAGAATGAAGCCCCAAGTCCCGACGACGTACCCGTACCACGAAACACCCACGATTTGGACCGCCATGGAGTAGATCTGCGCGTAGGGTGCCGGCCCCCGAACAAAACAGCATGGTTCTGCGTGAGATAAAGCTAAACAGAGAGAGGTATAAGGAGCTACCTATCAAGTTCCCGCTTCAATCACCACACCGTCGAAGAGGCAATAGTCACTGCCTTAGACGCAGAGTTCGAGAAGCGTGTTTTTTCTTCGAGTACTGTAACATGCACGGTCCATCAGTCATTGGTCAGGTTGTAAGGGAATATCAACACGCCGAGTACCCCCGCCGCACAGGAATTCGACTAGGCGAACGCCCCGCGACCTTCCCGCCTAATCGGAGGCAATCGGAAAGGCGGGTTCCAATCCGGCTGTGCGCTGGTCGCCGGACGAAAAATTGCGACCGTCTTGGTCGATGGCCAAAGACACCATGCTCGCCTAACACTACACGATCGGTCCTCGTAGGACCACAAAGTGTACATCTCCGCTCAACAAGGCGTGAAACCGTCCGCGGTACGAAGGCAAGTACCTAGATGTCCAGATCTTCCCCGCTGTAGACACTCGGGATAAAAGCCAACTCCTAGCGCGAAAGACGATTTATTTTTCAGAACCATGGTGCCCCCCTAATTTCAAAAATGCATAACGGGGGATGGTGGGGGGGGTGTACTCTCATGTTTCGCATGCCTTAGCGGTTAGACCATTGACCACGTGTTCCTCGAGAGGACGGAGCCTTGTTCCCACTGGACCGATCACCGATGGCAAATCGTTCCTTCCTACCTTGCCAACGATGGCTCAACATAGATCTCTCCTCGAGCATATATGTCTTATCCATATCACTTCCCGCCTGTTCCCATGTCCCAGTACAGCTACCGTCTTCTGGGTATTCCATTCCTCAAACAGCTCCGTGTATCTACCTTCTACTTTTCCCAGCTTAGTCATGCACACTTCCCACTCTTTCTCCTTTTTGTGCAACGGACATTCCGCAACTACATGAACCCCGGTCTTCGCACTTGGAGCCGCGTTCACACGTAAACTTGTATTCATCGTCTACATACCTTCCGAAATCGTCGTCTACGGCCAATGTACCCGGTCCTAAGTTAACCTTCAGCTCTGTCCCTGCAGCCATTGGTCCACGAAGGTACGCCTTGATTCCTTCATACGATACTTCGTTGACAACTAGTCCCATTTGATACATGGTTTCTTTGGTTTGCACATGGGGTGATAACTTAAAGACGCTTCTCCGAGAACAAGGCTCTACAGAAAAGAAAAAAAAGCATGCACGTCATTCAAATAGGGAACGACCGCTGCACCTGCTCAGCCGGGGTCCTGGCAGAGATATCCCCGTAACCGACGGTGGTAAGGGTAGTCAGGGCCCAGTACACGCTTCCGAGGTACCTCCTTCCCACCGAGAGCGCTACGTAGTCGTTCCTGGCGTAGCAGAGACGGAAGAAAATGGCGTTTAGTTTTGTTTTGTATCGTTTTCGTGTCGTCGCGTCTACGGTCTACTGCTGTACGTCTGCTGTGTCTTTCGGAAGGAGGAGACTAGTTTTGCGTGGCCAAGCGGAAACAAAACAATACCAATGAACGCACAATCGGCGTATGTGAGAACGGCGCTGGATCTATGCCCACGTGGGCACACGCACACCTCTCTGCTGTTTCTAATTGGACAAGCTCTCAACGGTGCTGATAGTGGCCGTAGTGTTTCTCAATACACCATTGTACGAGCCTTTTTACGTCTGGTCCATCTGTTTTACGACCACAAGCAATTTTCAGCCCTTCTCTTCTGCAACGGTCATCATCACGCGCTACACAACTCGACCCTTTCGTATTTCGCGCGTGAAGTCAACGACGACGTCATTGAAAAACCCATCCATCCGATGCGTTACCCTTTTCCACAAAAAGGCGTCCACGTATAGGGGAACCACCGTATCATTTCGTAAAGATTGGATTGGCTGCCTATTTGCGAGCTCCTTGTTTTTGGTCATCCGGTGAACGAGTTCGATGCTTACGAACACCACACGCACAACTTCACAAACAAATGCACCCACAAAGACAGGCATACAGGTGATGTACACGCGTAATCCATCGTCCATTCATCATGGACTTCTTGTCCATGGATACAGGTTGGATTCGCTTGTTTTCGTGCCAAAAGCATGATATTGCACGCGTGCACATTCACACACATTTAGCGTATTCGCGTTTTCTGTCCCGTCATGCGACTGGCGTCTGTTCATTGTCAGTCGGTTAGCCCGGTCAATGCCAATAAGCAAAACAAACACACACAGCACACCTGTAGATCCACGGGCACTCGCTGGCGATGTATTCACCGACATCGTAGTCGAAGATGAGGTCCTCTTCCGCAAGTCCATCGAAGTACAGGTCATCGCACTCCGTTCTCAGCAACGTCGCCAGCATGTACCACCCGCACCCGAACAGGTGGGCCGTCTGAGGTACGCATACGTACACCGGGAT